AGTGCAATAGCAAATAATTGACAATAAATGGGACTTTTCCATTATATTTCATATAATTTAGGATTACAAATCTTATAAGCTCATCTAAATCCTTTAGTAATTAAACACAAAATTATAGTCCAATAACCAATGCTTAGCTCATAGTCCTGCACTGTATCATTACGGAATTCTTTAATCAAAGTCAATATCAAACTGAACATTTCAAATTATATATTCATACGGCTAACCGTAACTTCCAGTGTATCAGCTGACTCACCCTCACTCAACATGTCATAATGACAGACAACAACTTCAGTAACCAACTATTAACTTCATATCAACAATGTATGAGCTTCTATCGTCCCAGTATTACACCGCAACATATGAAAGACGCTACATTTATTATAATGTTCTTTTATTTATTACTACATTTATATTTTTATATTAATAAATACAAGTTTATTTTGTGTCTGATATGCATATATTGCTTCATATTAGCTAGACAAACAGAGAAGTATATTTATTAATATTTCTTGTAATTTCTAATAGTAATACAAGTAAATGTTTCAATTGTTGCAGTATATATATATAAGTATGGTGTGAAATGCAATTTCAGTCCATATGACTTATTTCATTTACAAAAATATGCCCATGACACGTTGTCTACAGATATTCCTTTATTTCCCCCACTCATTGACTTCATTATTGGTTATTGACATTCTCATAGTAGCTTTCCGTTTCAAGTACGAAGGAGAAATATATTATCAAGAAAAGGCAATAATTTATTCATAAATTAATAGTCACACAGTCTAAAAGTAGTCTAGAAATTAATAACGTGTCCAGCCAACGTGTCCACTGTCCAGCCACCTTCATTCTCAACAACAGCCTGAAACCTGCCAGGCATCGAGGTTACACTAGTTGAGGCTTGTTCCGGAGCACCTCCCATGTTTGTGTCATGTGGGCAAATAATTCCCCCGATGTCCTTTCCCTGTCTGTCTCCTATGTGTCCACAATGTTGGCCCACAAATTTTCAAAGGTGTTCATATCGACCCTCTTGTTAGGCCAATTCATCAGTTGCAGGTTGTCTTGGCCAGCAAAATACTGCTGGATCAGTCTGGCCGTGTGGATGGGTCACCATCATGAAAAAAAAAACACACAATGGGGAGGTTCTTTTCCCGAGGGGAGGGAAGAAAACTGTTGAACGAAATATCTATAACTTTTGCACAATGAACCTGCCTTCAATTTGGGTCACATCCATCCCCAAACATTGCAGGTGATGTGCCTGCTGTGCGCCTCCTCATATACAGGTATGTGTACACTGTATATGCTTTGGATTCACGAGTCGATACTCTCGGGGTTCACACCTCATGGAGAGGGTGGATTGACAACGCTGAGTGTACCATTTGGAAAACTCCCCAACTGTACCTCTGTCTCCCTACCTGCCATAGTGAACCATAATATGAACATTATGCTAATTAATCTCAAAGTGATATAATCTACTGTAGTGTAATGAAACTGATTTAGTTTTAATTAATTTAATATCTAAATATAATTTTATTGATATTCAAAAATATATTTTATTTTGTGATAAAAAAGTGTGTAACAAAATATTTTATTTACCCCTTTGGAACAAGAGGTAGCGAGGAAAGGGCAGCTGAGGTCAGCAAAATACCTGTAACATGTATAAGGGTTTAGAAAATCTCTGAATATTCATGTTAATATTTATTGTTGACTCACCTGAATTACTGTATAATCCAGTATAATGGTTGATAATCACTTTAAAACAGTTTTGAAGTTTTAAATTATTGCAACTCAATAAGAAAATGTATAAATAAAGTAAATATATTAACTCATGATACTAAGTTATTGTGTTAAACATAATCATTTCTCAGTAACTAAATGATGTTATGTTTTTATAAAGTAAATAGAATATAGATTAATGATCGAAGTTTAAGAAAAGAAGTCTGACAAAATGTAATATGATGGAAATAGCAAAGGATTTGTATCTTAAGATAAAACAGTGACCGAGAATGAGATTGGACCCTCCCTTAACACATGGTGCTCTGTTTATAGTTTGAACACGTAACTGCTGGAAAGTTTGTGCGAATGTACAATAATTTAAAATGTAAAAGATATATGAAGAATGATTATGTTTTAGAAACTAATAAAGAATTTGTAGAACATTATAAATTTAAGAAATATAGTGAAATATTTAACACAAATAAACTGAAGCTGTGTGAACTGTAAATACATGTGAGCTGTCATTAAGAGAGCAGCCAGGACCTAGAGAGAACCGTCTCTAAGGACCGTCAGTAGAGATCAGACATCAAAGGCTAACAGTTGTGTTTAAGTCTGTCTCTGAATGTTTATATTATTATAAGTGTTATAGAAAATCTCATGTTATGGTAAGCTAAATGTTTTTGTTAGTTATTTACCATTGGTATAATTAATAATTGAAAATGTAAGTGAAACAAAGTAACGTTGTAAGATAAACTAATTCCTTATTAATATTATGACACTCATGTAATAGGAATTATAAAGTAAGAAATTGGATATAATTTACTTAACAGTAAAAATGTGAAAGATGTATGTGTTTTATTATTAATATTATTTTAAATTAATACTGATATATTAACTATTACTTAATGTGATTTATTGTAAAGTTAATGTTATGTTAGTGATTAATTTTACCTTGAATATATAATTGAGATTAACGTTTATTTCAGGGGTTTTAACTGTGGCAGTTGTTTTGTTCAAAGGAGTTCTCAATGTGTATTTCAATATACAATTGGAAGATCGCTGGATTGGAGCAGCTTGGAACTGGATTGAGTACAGTACAGTACAGCACAGCACAGTACTGTACAGTACAGTATTGTACAGTACAGTACAGTACAGCACAGTACAGTACAGTACAGTACAGTACAGTTCAATACAGTACAGTACAGTACAGTACAGTACAGTACAGTTCAGTACTGTACAGTACAGTACAGTACAGTACAGCACAGCACAGTACTGTACAGTACTGTACAGTACAGTACAGTACAGTACAGTACAAGCTAAGTGGTGAACGAACATTTATGATTATGATGGTGGTGAGAAAAGTTCTTTGGTGAATAGTAGTGAATTTAAAGACTGGAAGTATTGTGTGTGTTCCTAATGAGAAGTTATCACTGGACTTACATCATTATGATGGATAATGGTGAGAATTGCAGAACAAATTCTCATAAATTTAGGTGATTATTAAACTTTCATATATTATCTTTGTGTAATTATTAACTTTGTGTGTCACAACTTTTTATAATAATGTACATATAAATATTGACACTAAGTATTAATATCCCTTTTATAAACATATAAGTGAATTATTAATTGGTGACCTTTTCCTTTTGGGACTTAGATAAGGTAATGTAAAGATCGAAAACCTTGAATTAATTAACTGGTGTTACCACAATTTACCAATTGCCTACTGCTCAATATCAACTTGAATTACAATACTTTGCCAGAATAACAAAGAATAAGGTTGAAAACGTCAATATCCGATAGTGTTAAAATGCTACACAGGCAGATATTTCTCAGGTGAATCGACTTTACGGCTCCTTCAATATACTTCAGTGTTTAAAGGATCAGTGTTGTACTATACCCGTCTTCCCTCCCCCTCTACCGGGAGACATTAAAGGGGCGTTGAACAGCTAATGGCTGCCCCAACAAACATAAACAAGCACAACAGTAGAATGAACCGACAAATATTAATATAACTTAAGTGATCGACGCCAATAATGACCAACAAGTCTCCTATATACTGTATGAACTAATATCCACAGAGTCATAAGACCATAAAACAAAAATACTTCTATTTCACGAGAGTCTGCTGCCATAACCCACTGAGAGAGTCTACTGGTTCTAACCCACTGAGAGAGTCTGCTGGTTCTAACCCACTGAGAGAGTCTACTGGTCCTAACCCACTGAGAGAGTCTACTGGTCCTAACCCACTGAGAGAGTCTACTGGTTCTAACCCACTGAGAGAGTCTGCTGGTTCTAACCCACTGAGAGAGTCTGCTGGTCCTAACCCACTGAGAGAGTCTACTGGTTCTAACCCACTGAGAGAGTCTGCTGGTTCTAACCCACTGAGAGAGTCTACTGGTTCTAACCCACTGAGAGAGAGTCTGCTGGTTCTAACTCCACTGAGAGTCTACTGGTTCTAACCCACTGAGAGAGTCTGCTGGTCCTAACCCACTGGAGAGAGTCTGCTGGTCCTAACCCACTGAGAGACTCTGCTGGTCCTAACTCCACTGAGAGAGTCTGCTGGTTCTAACCCACTGAGAGAGTCTGCTGGTTCTAACTCACTGAGAGAGTCTGCTGGTCCCAAACCCACTGAGAGAGTCTGCTTTGGTTCTAACTCCACTGAGAGTCTGCTGGTTCTAACCCACTGAGATGAGTCTGCCCTAATCCACTGAGAGAGTCTGCTGGTTCTAACCTCCAAAGAGAGTCTGCTGGTTCTAATCCACTGAGAGAGTCTGCTGGTTCTAACCCACTGAGAAAGTCTGCTGGTTCTAACCCACTGAGAGAGTCTGCTGGTTCTAACCCACTGGAGAGCGTCTGCTGCCCTAATCCACTGGAGAGAGTCTGCTGGTTCTAACCCACTGAGAGAGTCTGCTGGTTCTAACCCACTGAGAGAGTCTGTTGGTTCTAACTCCACTGAGAGAGTCTGCTGGTCCTAACCCACTGAGAGAGTCTGCTGGTTCTAACCCACTGAGAGAGTCTGCTGGTTCTAACCCACTGAGAGAGTCTGCTGGTTCTAACCCACTGAGAGAGTCTGCTGGTTCTAATCCACTGAGAGAGTCTGCTGGTTCTAACCCACTGAGAGAGTCTGCTGGTTCTAACCCACTGAGTACAGTGTCATCACACGCATAGGATTTAGGCATTCACCATAGCCACCATAGCTGCCATAGCCATTATAGCTGCCATAGCCACCATAGCTGCCATAGCCATTATAGCCATAGCCACCATAGCTGCTATAGCCATTATAGCTGCCATAGCCACTCATAGCTGCCATAGCTATTATAGCTGCTATAGCCACCATAGCTGCTAAAGCCATTATAGCTGCCATAGCCACCATAGCTGCCATAGCCATTATAGCTGCCATAGCCACCATAGCTGCCATAGCTGGCATAGCCACTATAGCCATAGCCACGATAGCTGTCATAGCCACCATAGCCGCCATAGCCGCAATAGCCAATTACACCCACCATAGCTGCCATAGCCATTATAGCTGCCATAGCCACCATAGCTGCCATAGCCACCATAGCAGCCATAACCACCATAGTTACTATAGCCACCATATTCGACATAACCACCATAGCCACCATAGCCACCAGAGTCGCCATAGCCTCCATAGCCACCATAGCCACCATAGCTGCCATAGCCACCAAGTAGCTGCGATAACCCCCATAGTCACCATAGCTGCCATAGTCGCCAAAGTTGCCATAGAAGCCGCCACAGCTGCCACCATAGCCGCCATAGCCACCATAGCTGCCATAACCACCATAGCTGCGATAACCCCCATAGTCACCATAGCTGCCATAGCCGCCAAAGCTGCCATAGGCGCCATAGCCACCATAGCCACCATAACCGCCATAGCCACCATAGCAACCATAGCTGCCATAGCCACCATAGCCACCATAGCCACCATAGCTGCCATAACCACCATAGCTGCGTTAACCCCCATAGTCACCATAGTTGCCATAGTTGCCAAAGCTGCCATAGCCGCCAGGGCCACCATAGCTGCCATAGCCACCATAGCCACCATAACCACCATAGCCTCCATAGCCACCATAGCCACCATAACACATGCCAGTGACGGTCGTCAACAGACGGGAGACACTGGAGGAAACAGTCACTGATATGTTATTGTGATACAAGATGACGGAGTCTTATAACACCACACAAACGTTTATGAGACCGTTCAAGAATATCTGTACCTTGGCTGCAGGATCTGTTGGGCGAGGAACTGTGGGAGAGTATCCAGGACTTTATATAGAACAGGTGGCGCCTCGTATTTGTCCTCACCTTCAAGATGTGGTCCTTTGGTTTGAGACATTGGCATAAATACCAAGTGATCCGTGAACACTATTAAAAAGTTATTTCTTTTCTAGATGTGAATATTGTGAGGCAGAAGTTCCTACACACATCAGTGATCCAAAGTCTTCAAGGTGATGACATGATGAATTATGTTCTGTGGAAGTCATATGGACCAGACCAGCAATATACACCAATAACAGGGGTGGGATTTACTGAGTCCTTGTAGAACGATCTGTGGACCCGACGAGGACCTGTGGACCTGACGAGGACCTGTGGACCCGACGAGGACCTGTGGACCCGACGAGGACCTGTGGACCCGACGAGGACCTGTGGACCTGGACGAGGACCTGTGGACCTGACGAGGACTCAGGGACCTGACGTAGAGGACCTGTGGACCTGACGAGACCTTGTGGGACTTACGAGGACCTGCGGACCTGACGAGACCTGTGGGGCCTGACGAGGACTCAGGGACCCGACGAGGACTCAGACCCAACGAGGACCTGTGGACCTGACGAGGACCTGTGGAACCAACGAGGAATTCCGCGGACCCGACGAGGACTCCAGGACCTGATGAGGACCTGTGGACCCGGACGAGGACTAGGACCCGACGAGGACCTGTGGACCTGACGAGGACTCAGGATCTGACGAGGACCTGTGGAACCAATGAGGACCTGTGGACCTGACGAGGACCTGTGGACCTGACGAGGACCTGTGGACCTGACGAGGACCTGTGGACCCGACGAGGACCTGTGACCCGATTGAGGACCTGTGGAACCAACGAGACTGTGGACCTGACGAGGACTCTGTGGGACCTGACGAGGACCTGTGGACCTGACGAGACCTGTGGGACTCGACGAGGACTCAGACCTGACGAGACCTGTGGAACCACCCGAGGACCCAGGGACCCGACGAGGACCTGTGGACCCGACGAGGACCTGTGGACCTGACGAGGACCTGTGGACCTGACGAGGACTCAGGACCGACGAGACCTGTGGACCCGACGAGGACCTGCGGACCCGACGAGGACCTGCGGACCCGACGAGGACCTGCGGACCCGACGAGGACCTGTGAACCCGACGAGGACCTGTGGAACCGACGAGGACCTGTGGAACCAACGAGGACCTGTGGAACCAACGAGGACCCGCAGAATTGACGATGACCTTTGGAAGACCAGCTTAAACCCCTGCCGTAGAATATCTAGAACTTAAATATGTTCTGCTCAAGACTAAACCAAACTGATGATATCCACCAGAGGACTTGTTAAACCTTTTTCTTCTAAACCTCAGCTAACACAGATAAGGTTGACCTGTACACTGGGGTGAAACTCTGGAGACTTTGGCCCACTGGTGAAGGTCTATAGAGGAAGTCTTTAATAAAATAGAGTCAGTTTTACTTCACATGTACTAACTTCTATAAGACTAGACCAAAAAGTTATCACTGTGTTGTACAAAAGTCTAATGTGTTATACAGTAACCCTCACTGTGCTCAGGCTCAGTATTGAGTTCGCTCCTAATGGATGCACAAACCTGTACTCGAATTTTCGTGCTCATATTTTTAACTAGAGAACATTTGTATTGATAAAAAATACTGCAGGTGTTGTTTAGGGAACGTTAGTACATTACTGTCCAATGATTACCTCTTTGACCTGGAGATTATTTACATCTGTGTTGAGCCAACAGAAAGAACACTGTAATTGCTTTTGTGTTTTTCCGAGTAAACTTCACTTCTGTGTGAACGAAAAGAAAAGGTATTTGGACGGATGAAAAAAAAAAGAATGTGACAAAAGAAATGCTTTGCTTTCTGCTGTATTAAAGGAAATACTTGAACTTTATCTAAACCTGAAAAATATTTGAATTTAAAAAAAAAAATATTGTGCTGCAACAAGATACTACATACCATAAATACACAGGTTCTCAATCTTTACACCAAAACGATATATTTGTGTTTAAACTGAACAGAAAGATATACAATATTTGTTTCATCACCAAAAAAGTCCAAAAGTGATGCACCGAAATTCACATACAAACAATTTTTTATTTGATCCTGAAAATAATTATAGAAAACTGTTGCACTAAAATCTATACACGAACCTTACCTCCACCCACAATAAACTGTACACTTAATTTAGATAGAAAAAAGTGCATAGGTACATGGTCTATCATCTGAAAATAAAACTCACATGTGTTGCACTGAAATACTTACGTATTTTTCTGTATCCGATAAATATAACATTTGTATTGTACTATAAATTACACAAGACCTTTACCTGCACTTAAAATAAACTTCTTATATATACAGTAAAATTATATGTAGTGAAGTGAAATATATATGGATGTCATCTGCACCTGAACATTTTTAATTTATATTGTATTAAAATACATGAACCTTACCGCCACCTGAGACACAAACACTACAGTACCTCTATAAACCTCATTCTAGGTGTTATTTATACTTTGAATTAAACCTATACATAGTAACCTAACCTAAACCACCTTAACATTGTTATAAGCCGTGATTTATGTCAGACCTGCTGTCAGCACCGATAGGTTACTGGAACTGTACGGTCTGCAGGGTTAGTAAGATGCAGCCAATAAAAATAAATAAATTCTGCTCCGTGATAAAGCAAGGATCGGGATTCAAACTTTATCCCAATTTATAAAATTATGAAGAATAAATCAAACTGTTATCATAAAGCTCATTATTTTTTATGTTTATTTCAAAGTAACTTTAAATTTTATCTTAATGGATTTTAGTAAATTTTTAAACCAAAAACATTTTGTTTTGTACTTACCACAGATGCTTCTGAAGTTGTAACCTGTAAAACCATAAACGTGTTAGAAACAAATTTTTGCTACAGGAAATTCATTAAAAAAACTACGACTTACTAAGAATTTAAAGTAATGCCACACTTCAGGGACTATACAGTTGGCCCCACTAGTGCGTTTACCACTTAGCATTGCCAGCTGTCTCTCCTGAGGTGAACCCCAAACTTGAAGTGTGACCTGAAGCATTCACCAATGAGAGTGGAGAGGGGGGGTGTCAGGGTAGGTGTCTTTCTGTGGGTTTCCTCAGCTGAGGGTAATTGTCTAGCACTAGCCAGATGAAGATACTCAGTTACAATAGGATGATAAGGGGATGAATTTATGTTTTAAGTAAAATGTTCCTTTGCACAAGAGGACATTTATGAGAAAATATATAATGAGTATGACTTAATCTATGTCTAGTAGAAGCAGTGGAGCCAACTGTACCAACGAGTCTTCAACCCAGATAATTAAAGAAGAAAAATCATCGACCAGTTACTAATATATTATTTCTTACCTTTAATACTAACTACATTGAATTATGTGTTGTTTCCAAATGAACAGCAACAATGGGTTACATCCCTTTGGTAGCAGTGAGCTGACAATGTTTTTATTCAACGGAACCTTCAACGACTCTAGTTACTGTAACAAACCATAATGTTCTTTTCTGTTCCTCCTATACCACTGTCGACGTGCCTGTGACATTAAGGACTATTTATAACTAAACACTACAGTTTACAACATAATGCTAAGATATACTGTAGTTCAGTTTTTAACTGCGTTACAAGTGCAGTAAGTGCGTTAAGAAAGTGTTTAGTGATAATTTATTGTATTTAAAATAATAACAGGTAACTACTAATGTAAATGATAAACTTATGATATAATATACAAATATATTCGGCTTTGGTCAGGTTAGGTATATTCTGTATAACATTGACGGTCACTGTTTGACCTCCTTGATATGGATGACCATTGACCACCTTAACCTAACCTCCCTAACATGGGTAACCTCCTCACCTCACCTAACCTAACCTAACCTAACCTAACCTAACCTAACCTAACCGAACCTAACCAGCTCCCACAATCACCGTGACGATATCTCAGTTCTTGCAGGACCACCCGGGAGTCCTTGATCAATAATAATACCAAGGTGCACTACATTGGCACCCATGTAATATGTGTGACAAGTTCCAGATCTCTAACTGCTTCCCTTTTGGAGTTATGGCCGAGCACAGAGACAGACTCACAGACGGACATGTCCTTTTATTATTATAACATTTAAATATAGACAACCAGACGGGGAAGTTGTACATGAGCCAGCACCCCAGACTGCTTGACGTGCAGCACCCAGTGGAAGTTGTACATGAGCCAGCACTCCACACTGCTTGACGTGCAGCACCCAGTGGAAGTTGTACATGAGCCAGCACTCCACACTGCTTGACGTGCAGCACCAGGTGGAAGTTGTACATGAGCCAGCACTCCACACTGCTTGACGTGCAGCACCAAGTGGAAGTTGTACATGAGCCAGCACTCCACACCGTTGACGCAGCACCCAGTGGAAGTTGTACACATGAGCCAGCACCACACCGCCAGATGCGCAGCACCATGGAAGTTGTACTATGAGCCAGCACCCACACACCGCTGGACGCAGCACCAGGTGAAGCCAGGCGGCGAGCCAGCACTCCAAACTGCTGGACGCACCGCGGAGCAGATGAGCGCACTCCACACTGCTTCTGGACGCAGCAGCAAGTGGAAGGTACATGGGCCAGCACTCCACACTGCTTGACGCAGCACCGCGGAAGTTGTACATGAGCCAGCACTCCACACTGCTTGCGTGCAGCACCAAGTGGAAGTTGTACATGAGCCAGCACTCATTAATTGCTTGGACGCAGCACTGGGCAGCTGCTATGAGCCAGCACCCAGACTGCTTGATTGCAGCACCAGGTGGAAGACAGAGCCAGGACTCACACTGCTTGGACGTGCAGCACCAAGGAAGCAAGGCCATGAGCCAGCACTCCACACTGCTTGACGTGCAGCACCAAGGGGAAGTTGTACATGAGCCAGCACTCCACACTGCTTGACGTGCAGCACCAAGGGGAAGTTGTACATGAGCCAGCACTCCACACTGCTTGACGTGCAGCACCAAGGGGAAGTTGTACATGAGCCAGCACTCCACACTGCTTGACGTGCAGCACCAAGGGGAAGTTGTACATGAGCC